GGGTAGTTGGGGGAGAGGGGATGGTTCTGTGGGTCAAAATCAATCAATTAATGTTTCATTTAATAATTAGAATAATTTTGAAGAGACAAATCTTGAAAGTTAATTAATTAAATAGAAAATTAATTGAATAATAATAATACTTAGAAATAAACAGAAATATTTTAAAATAATTGATGAAAAAGATGATTATTTCAATAATAATAATTAGACATTAAAAGAATTATTCTAGCAGACAGGAGTTGCCGTCTGTTGACAGGAATGTGTTAGCTGGTGTCACAGGTGGACAAGATCGGGCGCGCGTTTGGTGACGCAGATGGTGGTGGTGTGGTGGTGTGGTCCCTGGAGCCTGGTAGTGTGGTGGTCAGCTGGTACAACTCCTCCCTGGGGGCACCGACCATCTGTCCCACCACCACCATCACCCACCTGCATGACGTCATGCTCACCCCGCTAGGTGGGTGCCATCTGTGGCGTGGGGTGCCATCTGTGGCGTGTGGGTGCCATATGTGGCGTGTGGGTGTCATCTGTGGCGTGTGGGTGCCATCTGTGGCGTGTGGGTGCCATCTGTGGCGTGTGGGTGCCAACCATCACTGTATATAATATAATTAATATAATTAAAATGACATGTTTTATTATTATTTTTTCTCTTTTAAATTAAGAAAAATTGAATTATCTGGAAAATATAATTCTAAATATGGAATTATTTGTCTGTTGACGGTATATATATAATCTGAAGTTCATTGCCAGGTAAAATTATAAAGATCGATATTTACATCATTCATACGATATATTTTATGTGTTATATATATAATAATATCTGATATTCATGTGTTATATTGAATTGGTGTATATGTATATAGTTATTTTTTATGTTCAATATATATAATTTATATTTATTGTATATTTATTTACTAACTATGACCCCCTCCCCCTCCTTCCCCCAGGGGCGGTGCGCCCCGAGTTTGCCTCCCATTTCCCCCCCGAGTTTGAGGTGGTGGGGGGGGAGATGACGCCTGGGGGGGCGTGTCTGGCCCCCCTCACCCCCCAGCACTCCACCCCCCCTGACCTGGGGGATGATGATTACACTCACGTCAACGATTTTCCTCCTGATGATGGTGAGTTACCCCTAATTTTGTGGAATTACCCTAAATTTTGGGTGAGTTACCCCAAATGTTGTGGAATTACCCTAAATTTTGGGTGAGTTACCCCAAATTTTTGGGAAATTACCCTAAATGTTGAAAAATCACCCCGAATGTTGGGAAATAACCCTAAATCTTGGGAAATTAACCCAATTTTGTGGGTGAATCACCCTAAATGTGAGTGAATTACTCCAAATGTGAGTGAATTACCTGAAATTCACTGGGTGTGATACATTCTGATTGTGCTGGAAAGAAATCATTCACCATTAGTCAGCATTCAGTTATTCATCTCGGGTGAAACTTCTAGGTTTAGTACATTCAAAGGTAATTACCCAACAGATTCTGCTGTGTGTATTAGTTAAATTTTTTACACACATTTACTCGTCAACTCGAAGAGAGAGAACACAAGGACACGGTATAAAAGGTCCACAGCTGGCAGCAGTACTCAGTCTTACCTCACTGCAGTAACACTGACGTAGTGAGAGGTCAGGTCTGGTGGCTGTGAGTCAGGGAGTCAGGGCTGGGTATAATATATTATATTATAATATATTATGTTATACACATGAGTTCTAGTTTATATTACCATTATATAACCTCCCCCAGATGGCGTGAGGGGCAGCACGGCGGACCAGAAGGACGTCGTCCTGACCTTCCTGATCCCCAGCCTCCTGATGGCCGCCATGTTGGTGGTGGCCGCCGTGGCCGCCTGCTGCCTCTACAGACACAGGTCTGCTGTGTGGTCTGCTGTGTGGTCTGCTGTGTGGTCTGCTGTGTGTTGTGTGGTCCTGTGTGTTGTGTGGTCTGCTGTATGGTCTGCTGTGTGTTGTGTTGTCTGTCGTGTTGTGTGTTGTGTGGTCTGCTGTGTGCTGTGTGGTCTGCTTTGTGTTGTGTGGTCTGCTGTGTGTTGTGTGTTCTGCTGTGTGTTGTGTGGTCTGCTGTGTGTTGTGTGGTCTGTTGTGTGTTGTGTGGTCTGCTGTATGTTGTGTGGTCTGCTGTGTGGTCTGCTGTGTGGTCTGCTGTATGTTGTGTGGTCTGCTGTGTGTTGTGTGGTCTGCTGTGTGTTGTGTGTTCTGCTGTGTGTTGTGTGGTCTGCTGTATGTCTGTCTCTTATACACATCTAGATGTGTATAAGAGACAGGTGTCAGCGTATCAGTGATACGGCGTCAACGTATCAGTGCTACGGCATCAGCGTATCAGTGATACGGCATCAGCGTACGAAAATCAAATATATTTTTTTGTTTAAATTCTCATCACAAATTTTTCATCACAATCCGTATTTTATCTCAGCGTTTTTTTTATGTTTCTTAAAATTCAAGTAACTAAAATTCGGTAGTAATTCTTTCTAAATAATGATATGAAATATTAATATCATAATTATTAATAATAATAACACTAAAATTATTCTATTCAAGTCACCATAATTCAATGTTTAACCTCACGACAAAAAAGCCGTAGTTTTATATCATAATTAAATGAATATACTTCATTTACTAGACATTATTCACGTGCATTATGCCCTCTAGGTCTAGTTTAGGTCTAGTATCTCGGCATGTTGTACTAGACCAGCTAGTGCAGCTTCGTAGACCCTGGGTCTGCGGTCCGAATGGTGTAGGCTGGGTCTGTATTAATGGAAAATGGGTCTGTATTAACGGGATGTGGGTCTGTATTAATGGAGAGTGGGGCTGTATTAATGGAGAGTGGGTCTGTATTAATGGAGAGTGGGGCTGTATTAATGGAAAGTGGGGCTGTATTAATGGAAAGTGGGCCTGTATTAATGGAGAGTGGGCTGTATTAATGGAAAGTGGGGCTGTATTAATGGAGAGTGGGCTGTATTAATGGAATGTGGGGCTGTATTAATGGAAAGTGGGTCTGTATTAATTGTATGTGGGTCTGTATTAATTGTATGTGGGTCTGTGTTGATGGCAAATGGGCCTGAGTGGGCTGTATTGAGTGGATCTGAGTGGGCTGTGTTAATACAAATTGGGTCTAAGGGAGGTTGAACTGGTCTAGATGCCTGCTGGTGCTATGGTTTTCGGGGTCTAAATTTAGCGGCGGTCTGAGGACGGTCGAGCAGCAGGCGGTTGACCGCTGCTGCTCGACTAAATTATTGAAATTTTTTATAAATAATAATAATTGTGATGGTTTGGAACCCCCTTTTTATGTGTATCTTTTTTCGGTATGCGAAATTTTGAGAAACATTCTTTTGAACCTTAAGAAGAAATGAACTTCATGAAAATTTCTCGGTTTTTCGGGGTTAAGAAAGAAGGAACTAGCTTTAAATTTTTTTTTTTTTTATTTTTTTAGGTTGAACTGAGATGCGTAGTCTCTTCAGTTGCTGGTTGTCTCGTTATTTAGGTCTATTACTAACCACCGTTTGTTGTATTTGTAGAAATAAGGCTTCGTNCTGTCTCTTATACACATCTAGATGTGTATAAGAGACAGAGATGTGGCACATCAGCAAATATGCGCCGGTGCCAAATGTTTGTTGTAGATGTGGCACACCAGCAAATATGCGCCGGTGCCAAATGTGCGTTGTAGATGTGGCACATCAGCAAATATGCGCCGGTGCCAAATGTTTGTTTTAGATGTGGCACACCAGCAAATATGCGCCGGTGCCAAATGTTTGTTGTAGATGTGGCACACCAGCAAATACGCGTCGGTGCCAAATGTTTGTTGTAGATGTGGCACATCAGCAAATATGCGCCGGTGCCAAATGTTTGTTGTAGATGTGGCACACCAGCAAATATGCGCCGGTGCCAAATGTGTGGCGTAGATGTGGCACTCCAGCAAATATGCGCCGGTGCCAAATGTGTGGCGTAGATGTGGCACATCAGCAAATGTGCGCCGGTGCCAAATGTTTGTTGTGGATGTGGCACACCAGCAAATATGCGCTGGTGCCAAATGTTTGTTGTAGACGTGGCACACCAGCAAATATGCGCCGGTGCCAAATGTTTGTTATAGATGTGGCACACCAGCAAATATGCGCCGGTGCCAAATGTTTGTTGTAGATATGGCACACAATCAAATATGCGCCGGTGCCAAATGTTTGTTGTACATGACAAAGCAAATAAAATTTTGTACGTTTAACTGGAATTATTCATGAGAAAAATTGTAATGCTTGTCAACTTTTGCATTTTGCATCCACTTATAAATAGATATATATTCAGCACAAAGCCACACATAAACATCTTGTATCTGGCAACCCCTCTCAGTTGCCATGCATTATTTAACTCAATAATAAAAACCAATGTTTCTAGTGACAATCGCGTTTATAAATAAACTTTTATCGCGAACTTCAGATAAGATCTGATGATTTTCATTTCACGTATTTGTGATGGTGTTTTGTGTGCGTATATAAGTAGTAAGTAATGTTAAATGTTACCTAGCAAACACCCGCCTGCCGTTCACGTACGTTACTAACCTGCCAGGGGCCATACTTTCAAAACTCGCTAAGTGAACGTAAGTACTCAAAGCTAGTGGTGCCCAAAGCTGGCAGCAGTACTCCAGTCGGGTGCTGAGTTACCTAAATCTAAGGTGGCGAGTTACCCTAAATCAAGGGTCGCTAGTTACCCTAAATCTCGGGTGCTGAGTTACCTAAATCTGAGGTGGCGAGTTACCCTAAATCAAGGGTCGCTAGTTACCCTAAATCTCGGGTGCTGAGTTACCTAAATCTAAGGTGGCGAGTTACCCTAAATCAAGGGTCGCGAGTTACCCTAAATCTCGGGTGGCAAGTTACCCTAAATCTAGGGTCGTTAGTTACCCTAAATCTAGGGTGGTGAGTTACCCTAAATTCAGGGTATCTAGTTACCCTAAATTTAGGGTAATAATTACCCTTTCTCTGCCTAGGGCAAAAAGTTACCCTATATTCTTAGCACCTAAGTAGATCTTCACGTCTTAGGCGTACAAAAAAAATCCAATTTTTTTCTCTTATCGCTGATATGGGAATTTTCTCGAGCAGCTGTTTTTGATCACAACATTTTTCCTAGTGGAAGTAACTGTAATTTAAGTTTAAGATCTCGAATATTTTACTCTAAACTACCACTTTTTTTATTCAATGGAATCTGTTCTTAATAAAGGAAATTGTGAATTTGATTTCCTTTTGCCATTTGTTCCTAGCTTTTTTTTCTACTTCAATTTTTAACACAAATGCATAAAAGTTTCATTAATGAACTATGAATTTTTTTAGTATGAACTTTCAATTGAATGTTAATCCACAATAAATTTTTCGTGAACTGTCTTAACGTGAATTTTTAAATAATAAATAAAATACTATAATAAAAATGTATGGTGGTATTAACGTGAATTTTTCATTCAAATTTTGGTGAATTAAATGGTAAATTGCCTCTATTATAAAAAAATTTATATAATGTTTGAAGCAATAGTTTTTTGTAGTTAAGTCATGCTAAGGAATATATTGAATAGATTTAATTGATCGTTGAATGTAAGAATAAAGTTTACATGAAACAATCGTTTTCTTGTCCTAAAGTTGGTGCATTTGGTGAATATAGGGTGCACATACATTCATTCATTCATTCATCCATTCATTCATTCACCACCATCCATTCATTCACCACCATCCATCCATTCACCATCATTCACCACCATCCATTCATTCATTCACCACCATCCATTCATTCATTCACCACCATCCATTCATTCACCACCATCCATTCATTCACCACCATCCATTCATTCACCACCATCCATTCATTCATTCACCATCCATTCACCACCATCCATTCATTCACCACCATCCATCCATTCATTCACCACCATCCATTCATTCACCACCATCCATCCATTCACCACCATCCATTCATTCACCATCATCCATTCATCATTCATTCACCAGCGTTGTGAATGAACATCATTAGTCATTAAACTAGTCATAATTTTGCATAATCTAATAAAAATTAATAATTTAGATAACTTCGATATAAAATGAAATGTTATAAACTTCACCATCATGGCAACATCAATAGCAAATTCACAAAAAATTCATAATTTTTTTCTTATTATGCATTGGATGGAATCAAGAAATATGAACGGTGTCAAAACATGAAAACTACGTTTTATATTAAAAATATATGAAAAAACATAGCATTACATTGTGTTTTCAGAAGACATGTAAGTGAAATTCAAGACCAAAACTATATTAATGTTGCTAAATTCTACCTTTTAATCTAAACAATGGTAAAGACATGGATAATATTTTCATGGAGAGAAATAAAACCTTTCCAGGATATGAAACCAGGGAGTTTCAGGTTCGACACCCTGCCAAGATGTAAAAATTCTACAATGTCTGGAATCAGCTAGAGCATTGATATAAAACAATCAATGTTGATTTTCAGGTTCGACACCTAGCCAAGATGTAAAAATTCTACAATGTCTAGAATCAGTTAGAGCTATGATACAACAATCAATGTTGATTTTCTGGTTTGACGCCTAGCCAAGATGTGAAAATTTTACAATATATAGAATAGAACAAACCATATAAAACAATCCATGTTGGTCCACATAGCCTAACCTCAACTCGGAATTCACTGCAACATTGCTGAATTATTATGCATGAACACCGCTTTATTACTGAATGAATGGCTGAATGAATGAATAGTAATGGTCACTTGTATCAGAATGACAATTTAGACGCGATGTCTAAAGAGTACAGTTTCAACTGACATGATAAAAAGTTTATTAACCCTCTACCGCCGCATGTCGCTCTCCTGGAGCATAACTTTCAACTTAAATTATACGTAAACTATTGAGTGTAGCAACCTGAGGACGTTTGTATGCAACAGATAACATTTTAAAGTAACTTTCAACCTAAATTATACGTAAACTATTGAGTGTAGCAACCTGAGGACGTTTGTACGCAACAGAGAACATTTTAAAGACGTATGTGGCGGCAACCAACAATATTGCTCCAGTTACTAATATTATTATTACTAATATTATTATATTACATTAGTAATATTAATATGCTACTAATATTGCTATGATTCTTATGTCAGGCGGTAGAGGGTTTAAGATAAAACTAACAAATAAAGATTATTCTAAACAGATCAGAACTAAACTATTAATTGAAACTGAACAGCACCACACAAAGAAGTTTGTCATGATCACGTTGTGAGGGATACTTCATTATCATCACGGCAACTGATGAGTTACCTAGAAGGAACTCACATTCAACATTATCAATTTAGAAAATTTCACATCAAGTCAAAATAGTTGAAAATCAACTTTACAAAGTTGAATGCACTTAGAATATTTACAATGAAAACGTTATTCCAAAGAATGTCTGTGGAGAAATGTTCTGCAGAATGTCTGCGGAGAAACTTTATTGCAGAGAATGTATGCGGAGAAACCTTATTTTGAAGAATGTCTGCAGAGAAACATCATTCTTAAGAATGTCTGCGGAGAAACATTATTCCAAAGAATGCCTGCGGAGAAACATTATTCTGAAGGATGTCTGCGGAGAAACATTATTCCAAAGAATGTCTGCGGAGAAACGTTATTCTGAAGGATGTCTGTGGAGAAACGTTATTCTGAAGAATGTCTGTGAAGAAACGTTATTCCAAAGAATGTCTGTGGAGGAACGTTATTTCAAAGAATGTCTGTGGAGAAACGTTATTCCAAAGAATGTCTGCGGAGATACGTTATTCTGAAGAATGTCTGTGGAGGAACGTTATTTCAAAGAATGTCTGTGGAGGAACGTTATTCCAAAGAATGTCTGCGGAGATACGTTATTCTGAAGAATGTCTGTGGAGAAATGTTATTCCAAAGAATGTCTGCGGAGAAACGTTATTCTGAAGGATGTCTGTGGAGAAACGTTATTCCAAAGAATGTCTGCGGAGAAACATCATTCTTAAGAATGTCTGCGGAGAAACATTATTCTGAAGGATGTCTGTGGAGAAACGTTATTCCAAAGAATGTCTGCGGAGAAACATCATTCTTAAGAATGTCTGCAGAGAAACATTATTCTGAAGGATGTCTGTGGAGAAACGTTATTCCAAAGAATGTCTGCGGAGAAACATCATTCTTAAGAATGTCTGCGGAGAAACCTTATTCCAAAGAATGTCTGCGGAGAAACGTTATTCCAAAGAATGTCTGCGGAGAAACATCATTCTTAAGAATGTCTGCGGAGAAACCTTATTCCAAAGAATGTCTGCGGAGAAACGTTATNATCTCTGTTGCGCTGCTAACATCAAGACATGTCACTTTCATTTCATCGTAATTTCAGAATTAAAAAAATTTGTTTGAGGAGAAATCATGAAAAAAATAAAAGAGAGCAAAATAAATTTTTTTGAGACTACCTTCACCATCAGCCCATTCAAAAATAAATTTAAGAAAATGAATAATAAGAAATAACTACCTATGCAAAAAATAGAGGCCAAACAAATTTTCCAAACTTTATACAGGTAAAAAATAGAGAACCCTTATATCAATAATAAATGCACTGACAAAATCAACAATAGGTAAATCAAGTGCCATGATCAATATTCCAAAATATATTTCCTAATCTTAATGCTTCAAAATCATAGACAGCTTTTTTGGACATGTTACCTCAGCAACAAGCCCCACTTAAATACTTATATATTGCTTTAGTTACTTATATATTGCATTAATTACTTATATATTGCTTTAGTTACTTATATATTGTATTAATTACTTATATATTGCTTTAGTTACTTATATATTGCATTAATTACCTATATATTTCTTTATACAATCAATCTGGGGGAGGTTTACTTGTAAATCAATATTCATAAGTAAACAATCAATTTTGGGAGAATGTAGCTTGGAAAACAATATATTTTTATAAATTAAATAGTCCTAATTTTATTGATCTTTATCAAGCAACATTTTAACTCATTGATCCTTCATTGAACACAAATTTTGCGCAATATACTTTCTTCACTAGAAATAATAATTAATAATAAAGGTATATACTGTTATTATTACCAACATTTTTTTTAATCAGAGACCAATAATCAAAAACAAATAATTAAAATCAAATGCAGGTTTTTACATGCAAACTAACTCGTATAATACAGGAAAACATGTTTACAACTTTTTGAAGATTCATTTTGGTTGATAAATTTTCTTTTTCAATAAACAATATATCATAAATATAAACATTCTTTCATTCATTCCACTGTTAAATTTTATAGAAGTATTAAACAAATTCAGGTATTAAGACTCCAGCTAACACGTGTACCTCTTCATCATAATAGAATGGCTCCTCCTTCACATGAACTGGCTCCATGGTTTCCACTACCTTTTCCTTCACATAAACTGGCTCCATGGCTTCCTCTAACTCCTCTTTGACGTACACAATTGGAACGTCAGGAGCGGAGGAGGCAGCGCTAGCATCCATAGCTGCACAATAAACATATTCGATATATTGAAAAAACTAATAAGAAAATTGCGAATAAAACAAATTCTCTGGTCTTCAATGAAACCTGCTTGAAAGAAGAAATTCTGCCAACCTATACTAATAAACATATTGCGCACCTGTATATAACACATAATATAATATAGTTTATACTATATAATATATCTCACACATTTTACTTGCACTGAAATCCAGCATATTGATCTGGCATTGCCTGGGACGGATAATTCCTGCAATTATGGAATATCCCACGGATTTTCATTCTTGTAATCCCTAATCTCAATGCTAGTAAAAAAGCATATGTTTCCTAATTTTTCAATGACCTTCTCCAAACAAACATTTTACGTCAAAGATGGAACCATCATTTTACTCTCGTTCCAAAATAGGAAAAACTATTCTGTAAAAAACTATTTTAGCCCTTTCACGGGCAAGTTACCATATATGATCAATTGAAATTGCCTTGCTAAAAGCCCCCACCACGACCTTTTATTTGTTTTTGAGGCTAATTTTCTATCAGTCACTAATTATCTGATCATCATTCTATCCATAGCATCACCACCTTCAATGCCCAAAAATTAAAATATTTTTTGAAAAAATGAAAGTTAAAATGAAAGTTTTGACTTGGATGATGGAATTGACGCTCTTTCCGCATTTTTTCAAAAGGTGGAAGTATTAACATATATTGAATTATTTCTGGTTACTTGATCAAATTGTATTAAATTAAATTGTTATGTTACTTATTTTTTTATTTGTATTAACTAAATTTAAATTATAAAGGAGAATTTTGTGTACTGACCACATTTAATAAATTCTTCAAGAGCAATTTAAACCTTCAATAGACAAAATTTTTTAAAATACATACAAATAAATATATCATATAATACTTCTTACTTTCTTGAAATGGTTTCTGAAATTTTGATTTCTGAATATTTCAGTGCTTGCCTGCTAAACGGTTGACTTAAAAACCTTTATACCTAAATTCATACATATCAATTTTAAAAATCAAATTTTAATTACCTATTGATCTAATAATGACACTAGGAAAAAAATTTCAGGTGCAGGCAATATCCCGACATGATAAGTATCCTGGATATGCCTTTATATTAGTGGACTGTTAGGCTTCAAATGCACAAACTCACACACCAACTTTGCTGAATATGTGTCATTATAGGAAGTTATGTCATTATGTGTCGTGAAATAGGTAGTTAGTAAATAGTGAAGTAATTTCCCTCAATCCTCAGCCTGATATTTTTCGGGTTATGAAACCTCCAATATACCTTTCAGTCACAAACCGCTTCTACATGAAACCATGCCAATTAACTATAAGTTAATGGTACATATTGCTTGTAATGTAAATTAAAGTCCAAAAATATGTAAATTATAAAACTTTGAATTCAATTTCCAACCATGAACAGAGCTACTATGTACAACCATGCCAGTAATCAAGTGCAGGATGGAGCAAAATGCCAGGCTCACCTTCACACTTCACACTGCCAGCATCAGCACACACTTGAGCGAGGCTTGGCATGGCACACCAGCCCCTCCCCACGGCAGCTGCAGGGAGTTGGTGCAGCAAAACTTGGCACTTGGATATATTACGGGGCATGATTATAAAATTGCAAAATATTTTTGCAAGAAAATCTGAAACAAGAAAGTTTGGAAAATTTATTGAGCGGCTCTATATATCTATAGGAAACTCTAGAAAAAAACCTTAAACTGTTATGCAGTAAATGTTTGGAGGATTTAAATAATTTTCATCAATCATTTATTTATTCAGAATTAATGTATCCTCAACAATGGGCAGAACTTATTAAAATAATCTTGACTGATGGTGCAAATATCGAAGTGTGGATGAAAATTTACCACTCTAAACAATAGCTACAGGTGAAATTCCTACTGGACCGTATGTTTAAACATCCGGCCGGAGCTACATGCATATTGATCTTCCAGAAGTAAAAAATATATACCTTGAGTAAATTGCTGAGCTAATATCTCAGTGGATTCTCCACCCAAATTGCCATATTTACCCCAAGAACATACAAAATCAAATTTTTCCCTTCAATTTTGAGCCACATAGGCTGATGAGCTCTCAACCTTCTGATGTCACTTATCAGAGAAGGATCCAAAAGTTTAAAATCTTCTCACCAAGATGTTCACATGGTATAAGTTTCTGGATTGAACTAAAATTTGTGACTTCAAAGCCTCAGGCTTCCAAATCCACTAAAATAGTTCTTTTAACTACGAGGCATGTTTTTTTAATAAGTGAGAACCATTTTTGAATTGAAAAACTATGTGCAAAGATATCGCAATAATTTCTTTTAACTTGAAAGCCTGTACATTAATCTACTTTTCTACATAATTTCTGAATATTGAAGCACTTGTCATGATGTGGCACCAGTTTTTGAATACCCTCCTGATTAAATTCTGCCACCTGACTATTGCCTCTGCATTAAAAATGTTCTGAATTCATTATCATCTTGAAGATGCCGATCACCCAGGTGTTTCTTCAAGTGCAGGAACAAATGGTAGTTGCTGGGCACCAGATTAGGTGGTTAACAGATTTGTGATGCAGTGGCAGACAGAAGTCAGGCGGCAGAATTTTATCAGGAGGGTATTCAAAAACTGGTGCCACGTTATGACAAGTGCCTTACAAAACGTTTAGTTGATTTGTTTACATTACAATGTTTATGTTTTTTCTGCAGGATATTTTGGCTGGAACGGTAGTAAAGCAATGCAGATTGCGGAAGTTGAAAATTTTATGAAATGACATGTTTCTGAAGTGCAAACCGCGATTTTTCAATCAAACAAAAATTTGTGACATTTGAGCCGCGAGATTTCATACCTACTGATATTATATGATATTAGAGCCGCAATATTTCAGACAAAATAGGACTTTTCCAGCCCTGGTCAGCAGTCAGCCTCTAACTCAATACTCCAATAGATAAATACCTTCACAAATGATTGAAAAAGAAAGGCAATCTTTATTTCAAACTGAACAGAAATACAAGGATTTAAATCATTTCAATTTCTATATACTGTATAGACATAAATATGCAGCATTTCCACAATTATAGGCTTTTTAGTTGCCACTTATCTGTCTCATGTAAGTTAGTAAGACACGTATTATAGCTAATGCATTATGCAGGTATCCTCCCTGTATATATGATAATTTAGTGGTCTTCTAATAGGACACAAAAAAGAGAGCAAAGCTAATCTCTCGTCTGCCACAATGCGAGTTTGTCAAGATGAGGCGCGTCACCAACAGAGGTGCTGGCGCCCCCGGAAGCACCCAAGCAGAATCCAGTATTGGACTTTGTAGAGCGATAATGCCTTCGATGTCAACACGTCGCAAAAAATACATCCATCCTGCAACGCGGAAAATCTAGAGATTCAGTATTTTTAATATGAAACGGAGTAACATCAATATGAACATTGAAGATTCACCACATGAACTATATGTAAAATGTTCTGAACGTAACATGTGTAGTAGAGAGTAGACATAAGGCGCCTGTGTACAAAAGTCTGGTGGAATTCATTAAATTTGTTAGTGGTAAATAATCCGCTTTTCTGGCCGGTGTCAAGCCGAACCCAAAGAAGAATAATAGCAGCAAGAACTATCATATTTTCCTACACCAGCCTAACCGCACGGTGCTCCCGCTTCACCTGTGTTTGCCTAGCAGTTTTTTGGAAGGCATACCTGCAGCATCTTACCTCGGTCGCGGTCCTCTCCTCTTGATCTGGCGTTGTGGTGGCTCGACGAGAGCGTGGTTCCCATACCTGGAGCTCAGACGTTCTCCTGCTCAGCAGCTGTGGTCACGGTGGTGCTACTCTCCCGGAAGTTACACTCCTTGAAGCTTCGGAGACATAACTCAAGAAGCGCATGCAGAGGCTGCAAAGCGCCTCTGCATGCGCTTTGAGGCACTTGACTCTCGTGTGTTGCCCCTAGTGTAAACGGGCCTTAAGACACGTATTATAATGCATTATGCAGGTATCCATGATACTTTAATGGTCTTCTAATAGGACACAAAAAATAGAGCAAAACTAATCTCTCGTCTGCCACAATGCGAGTTTGTCAAGATGAGGCGCGTCACCGACAGAGGTGCTGGCGCCCCCCGGAAGCACCGAAGCAGAATCCAGTATTGGACCTTATAGTTGTAGAGCGATGATGCCTTCGAAGTCAACAGTCACTCAACACGTTGCAAAAAAATACATCCATCCTGCAACGCGGAAAATCTAGAGATTCCGTATTTTTAATATGAAACGGAGTAACATCAATATGAACATTGAAGATTCACCACATGAACTATATGTAAAATGTTCTGAACGTAACATGTGTAGTAGAGAGTAGACATAAGGCGCCTGCAGGTCGCTAATACATTGCAAGTCGCTTCAATGAACTCAATAAGAACATAATGTTAACATAACATATTGATCTCGGCGCTGAAGTGTAGGCCTGATGTGGCCTGTCGCCGATTCATTTCCTTTTCGTGCCTTGTTCACAGAATATCTAAAATTCGTGTCATTTGACCGGATCTTTTCATGACTGACGATAGTTTCAAGTAGCTACTAGACGTCCACCGGGTTCGATACGGTGAGAGGCATTTCAAATCTGAACATATATTTTTCCATAGCTTTATCTAGTCTGTTCTTGAACGCGTTCATACTTGGAGCGCCAACGATGTCATCGGGGAGGCTGTTCCACATGTCGGTGATTCGAAGCGAGA